GGTCTGATCCAGTGGTTCTGAGGTGGGAGTAGAGGCAGGGGTGTGCATGGTAATTACCTTGATTTGGTTTCGAGCACAGTACTTCCCCATCTTGAAATTCAAATTAAATTATATTCACATAATCTTAGAGAAAGGTAAGCAATGTCATGTTTGTCAGACAGCTAAAAGGAAAAGGTTGTGAGAAGCTGGCCTGCCTGTCAGCAGTGGGTGTGAACTGAGCTTTTATGCTGAGCTAGTAGAGGTGTTGGCCTTTGTTTCTTCTTGTCCATGAAAGAATATTCCTGAAGAGCAACTTTTGTCTTAAACAGCTAGTTTTTCACTGTATACCTTTCATACTTTGATTTTTGAGCCGTGTGAATGTATCAACTTCTAAAAAAGTTAAGTGTGTTTTAAAAAACCCCAGCATACTTTGATGTAAAAGGGCCATGAGGGTCCCTGAGAGGGAAGGAGGCTGCTCTCCCAGTGGTTGCAGCCGGGAAGGAGCAGGTGCTTCCGTGCTCTGGTAATGGGTTATTGCTAGAGCAGCAGCACCCAGTGGAGGGAAGGTAGGTCAGCATTGCTGTCCCCGTTGCAGAACTGAGATGCTCCCCCACCACCCCTGAAGGGCTGGGGATGGGAGCATTCTGTTTTCTGTGCTTGGTTGGAGCTAGGCCTCACCCACTTTTGCAGTCCCACGTCACGGGGTCACACCCGGGTGTCTCTATTCTGCGTTCCTCATGCTTCAGTGTGTCATCCAGCAATTCAGAGTCCAGTGTTGCCTGTCATGTGTGGCGCCCTCTCTGTCCTGTCTCCTCAGTGCCTGGGCCATAGGAATCGCTTGGTAAATGTTTGTTGACAGAAGGAAGGATTGCTTAAAAACCTTCAAGGCACCTTGTTATGCAGAGAAGGATAGCTGAAGTTTGGGTTGTTTTTTTTTTTGGTTGGTTGTTTTTGTTTTTTGTTGTTTACTTTAAGTAGGAGTCTCACTCTGTCGCCCAGGCTGGAGGGCAGTGGCACGCTCATGGCCATCACAGTCTCGACCTGCTGGATTCATGTGATCCTTCTGCTTCAACCTTCCAAGTAGCTGGAACCATAGGCGCATGCCACCACGCCTGGCTAATTTTTTGATTTATTGTGAAATCTCACCTAGTTTCCCAGGCTGGTCTCGAACCTCTGGACTCAAGCAGTCCTCTCACCTCCATCTCCAAAAGTGCTGGGATTATAGGCATGAGCCACCGCACCTGGCTCCAACCTTGTTTTAACACAGTTCAAAAACTCTGACAGGCCCCAGCAACCCAAACAGCTTTTCAAGCTTCACGCTGACCGGGGGCTTCATAAACATGAGTGGAGTATGTTGTGAAGACAGAATGCATGTAGGCAATGGATGAAATCTTCTTATGTCTGACTTTAAGTCTTTGCAGACTTTTTACAGACTGTAAAGAGATCACCCTGGCCTGTTGGAGAACAGGGATGGTAATGTGCTGTGCTTGTGTGTCCCCTCCTGTTTGACAGATGACGATCTGGATGTCGTGTTTGCCTCTTCCTCTAAGTGCGGAAAGGATAAGACCAAGTCTGTCTCTTCCACCATCTTCTTCCACTGTGACCCCCTGGTGAGGGATGGGATTCCTGAGTTCAGTCACGAGACTGCCGACTGCCAGTACCTGTTCTCGTGGTACACCTCAGCCGTGTGTCCTTTGGAGTGAGTACGGTGTCCCGACACTTAGCAGTTGTGCGCCACAACGTCTCTTGGATCTTAGTGTGTGGATAAGTGCATGTGTGGTTCCCCTGCCCAATGTTTTATTGTGAAATACTCAAGCATGCACAAAAACTAGAGAACATGGAAAAATGGGACCCCACATAGCCCGCACCCAGCTCCTGCGATGATCAGCATCCTGCTATTTATTTTTGGTCTACCCCAGCATCACTACTTCCTGCCAGCCCCATAGCAATGGCCGTGCTTCCTTTGTGCCCACTGTGCCCTGAACAGGGTCCAGCCAGAGCGCCAGCTTGATCCTGCTCCCTCCCCCATTGCTGCTTTCCTCTCTTTCACTCCTGGGAGGTGGGTAGCCACTGGGCCCTCTCTTTATATGCTCAGAGCATCTTTTCTGTATGTCCTAATACAAATAATTGTATAGTAAAGCTTCACTTTGATTTGAGGGAAGTTTTTTCTGTGTTGGAATGAATGAAAATCTTATTCTGCAGATCTGAGAATCTGCCTAGGCTGGATTTTCATGGCGACAAGGGTCGTGTTTATGCCCTGAAGAAGGTGGCACCTCCATGTGGCTGTCTGTGTCCCTTTGCCCAGAACAACCTGTTATCCATCGCTTTCCTCTTGGATTTATTTTCTTCCTCATTCCCCCAGCCCACCATTTTACACGAGCTTTTTATTCTCTGTTCCAAGGCTTTAAGATCAGGAGGAAAATGAATTTTTACCTTCTAATTGTTTCCTTCATTTCCTGAAAAAGGAATCTTAGAGTCAGCAGGCAGCCGTGGTAGGGATAATGGGGAAATTCAGATCACATGTCTTATATCTTAAAACAGTTTTTTTTTGGTTTTAAATTTTACTTACCTATGGGTACCAGCTCAGCAAAAGCAGTCAGCTTTGTTCTAAGTTATTCTAGGGACATGGACGTAAGGACTCCTGGCTGCAAATTATGGAAAGAGGTTTTTGGTTCAGATTTCTCTTTTGGTACTTTCACCTTCTGAATTTTATGATGTTCTGTTGAGGTCATTACAAAATATAAGAATTACAATGGAAGTTCTTTGTTAAAAAATCAAAATGTGAATTTTAAAGAATAGATAAAACTTAAAAATGAACTTTTTCTGCCTTCTCTGTCATTGAGAGGTGAAATGCCATGAGGTGAATCCTGCCTCCTGACACGGCAGCTGGTCTTGTGTGTTGGTTTGGAGGAGACCAGCCCAGGCCCGAGGTCCTGTCAGGTTTGGGTATTTGGAGTTCGACTTCCTGTGAATGAGAAAGGCACAGTTTACAGGACTTTGGGTTTTACTCTAATGCCAGAGAGAAAGATTGCACAGAAGCCCTCGTTTTTTTGTTTTTGTTTTCTAATACCACTTTATTCCTTAGCACCTCAATATAAAAGTAAATACAGGTGAACCATTTTTCTTAATTCTGCATTATTATAAATACAGAAGTTCTCCTAGCAATCTAACACTCAAATAGATGAAATCATCTCTGACACATGGTAGAATTCATATAATGATAATACCTAAAATAATAATTAGTGCAATATACTGAACTGATCAAAATAAAATGAACTTTGGAAAACAAGGCTGCTAGATTGTTACTAACACTTTGCAACACTTTATGTCACAAATTTTGGGTACATTGTTTAATGATGGTTCTAGCCAAGTAGGAACAACTGGAGCTACTTCCTTTCAGGGGTGGAGAGAAAGAATGAATTAGCTGTTTTAGTAACTGTACATTTTTTATACTTTTAAGTGACCCTCAAATATTACAGAAAAGTATTATATATATGGAGACTACAATGCAGTATTTACAGTACAACTGAAGATTGCATTTAAAATAATCCAATTTGAATATATATAATTGTTAGTGCATTAACTCTATTATGTCAAAAGGAAACCTCCCTGCCCCCAAATAACAAAACCTGTGTGATGGCCAGCAGTGATTAAATAGAAATCACAGGCACCTGGTTTGTTTCATTTCTGTTGACAAGCTCACATGGTTGATGGAAACACAACCCATTAAGATACATTTATCAGTTCTCATATCCCTGTAAGTTCTCATATCCCTAAAACAAGATGGAGTTGCATTCAACTTCTACCCCATTTTAAAAATAATAAAACTGGCTATAATTCAGATGCCACTAATGTTTATTCTCTCTCCTCTTCACCCCTCCCAAAGATGTGGGACTGTTTTCTTATGGTTAATTTACTAAAATGCACAATGTACACTTTTCAGATATAAGTACCAGAAGAAACTACCACTTGCCTGAATAGTGTAGCTAAGTAAAACTTTAGGAGCCCTTTCCAAAACGGTTTTTGGAAAACCCAAATTAATCAGTTCCAAATCTGTGTCATAAGTGACTGCTGTACCAGTGTGAAGAAACTGGCTGGTTAACTGTGTGGTCAAGACGGTCGTTTGTCTATGTTCCCTAGTGATGAGAAGTTATTATTCCTAACCTTTTAATGAAACAAGTGTACACATAGTTCTCATTTTCCCTTCCTGTTGCTGAAACATTAGTCAGAGGGACACATGCATGTTATTAAAAATTAAGTTCAAAACACTTAAAATAATTCTGTGTTAGAAACTTGACTCTATCATGAGTCTCTTCTTTTTGGAAGTCATACTGGGCTGGTTAAATGCTCCAATTCCACTTTCATTAACTTTTAGAAAACAGAAGAATATTCCAGCTAGCTCAAACTGGAGGTCTAGTTACTACAACACTGACTCCTGGTTGGTTGTGTGTGTTCAGTAAAGTCTCCTCCTTTTTCTCTGGTTGAATTTTCCCCTGGATTCTGTGGTTCATTGTTAGGCAATTTTTTAGCTATTGCCATGAATATTTCAGTTACATTCACTGATACTTAAGCTCATGTCTCCATGAATGATAAACCGTTGTCATCTGCATAGGACTGTGCTTCCAGGAAGTCTACAGCTCTTTTATTTGCTAGATCAACCTTGTTTTCTGATAAAGCTATGACAGTGTTAGGCTTTTCTTGCTTCTGAAGTTCTTTAACCCAATTTTTTGCTCTTGTAGAGGACTTCTCATGTGCGATATCATATGCAGCTATGGCGGTTTATGCTCCTCTGCAGTACATTGGGGCTAGCCTATGGTACCGTTCTTGGCCAGCTGTACCCCACATTTCAACCTTTATGGTCGTGTCATAAAGACATACAGTTTGGCTTAGAAAAGCAGTCCCAGGGTACTCTCTTGAAATTCATGAAAGTGGCCTTTTACAAAGCAAAGCACTAGGACTTGCTGGTGGCAGACTTGCCCCAGAAGCACTAGTCTGAACTGGCGGATTTTATTTCCAGTATTTGACCCAATATTTGTCCTGTTGGGTCTCGTTGCTCCTCAACTTGCTGTCCAAATCTGAAAGACATCCCTGATTGGAGACTTTTAATGAACTTCCAGAAGGCAAGATATCAAGTTTTTTTCTTTCTGGCAGTAAAGAAAACTGGGGCCGAGGCTTCCCAGCAGCAATACCCAGCGTGGCCAGAGGACAAAGGCAAGGCAGTGGCAGCAGCTGACCCCTCCTCGTGCCACTCCCCTCGCACTGGCCAGTGTTGTGCTCATGTGCGGTGCCGGTGCTGCCCCTGCCGGGCTCTGTCACCACCTCTTGCTACTCCACCTTCCTCTCTCCTCCTCCTCTGCCCGAGACCTTGCTTTTTATCATGTTTAAAACATCAGGAACAAGAGTTGCTCAAGTTCCCTTAACACATGGATAAAGTAATGAAGACTCTTAAAAAAAGTAAAACAAAAATTCACACCAGTAGCACAAACTCCTCATGTTGGAGGCGGGTTCCTGACTTTTCCTCCTCAAGCTGGGCCAGCCAGACTGGTTGGTGAGGGTTGCAGCTGCCACTCAGGGTGAACACAGCAGTGCTGCAGTCGTTATTATTTTTTACTTTATCAAAGTGCTATACATTTAAAAATAAAATAGATATAACAAACAAGTAGCAATTAGTACCCTAATAGGTGGTGATTTTTAGTTCTTGTAGATGTTTCTTTTGGAATTAACCTCAGTGTTTTAAATGAACATTTTGTTTTTCATCTGTGACTTCCTGCAAGGCTGGATGAAGATTAAGCTCTCTTACATCTTCCTCCTACTTTCCCAAAATGGTCATTTCACAATTTTTGGTTAAAGCAATAATCAGTGTTTATGTACTTAGACTTATGTAAAATAACAAAAAAGCAATAATCAGTGTTTATGTACTTAGACTTATGTAAAATAACTTATGTAAAATAACTTCCACAAAGTAAAAAAAAAAAAAAAAAAGGCATCTCCAGATGGGAGGGGCCCACTAGTTAACATGACAGGAAGATCCACACAATTATGAAATATCAGAATAGCAGCTGTAGAGGAAAAGACTAAAAGCTTCAGGGGAAGCTGTTTTGTTGTATTAGAAAATAATTTAAGAAAGACTAAGACACAGTAAGTCTTCGCTTAACATCATTGATAGGTTCTTGGGAACTGCAGTGGTAAGTGAAGCAACATAATGAAACCAATTTTTTTCTCATAAAATGTTATAATGAAACAATGTTGAAGGAAACAACATTATTTGAGGACCTGCCATCTCATTTTCTTGAAAGGAAGAAAGAAAAAGAGTTTACTATTGTTTGGAAGACATTGATTAATTTTAGATTTTTTTGTCTTGGTGTACATGCCAATATTTCAAGAATAACAACTAAAAGAAATATAATGTATAACTTCCAAAAGAGTAGAGAAGAAAAAGAGAAATAAAACTTACGTCCCAAAAGAAAACACAAAAGGAAAAAAGCATAACAAAACCAGACAAGTAGAAATTCCAGCCTAAGGTGGTATATCACTAGTCAGAATATATCACTAGTCAGAATAAGGATAAATGAACTTGACTTGCCAACGAAAAGACAAATTGTCAAATTGGACTTAGAAAATAGCTCTATTTACAGGGACTGTACCTAAACAAGGAAACAGAAGAGACCAAAGGCTAAGAAAAGATGCATCAGAAGTATAGTGATGAAAGAAAGTTGAAGTTACATTAATGTCAGATAAAATAGGATATTAAGGGAAAATATTAGGAATAAAGAGGGTTATTATAATTCTAAAAGGGTCAGTTTACTAGGAGGATACAAGAATCGTCAACTTACCTCAGCCTAATAAAAAAGCCTCTGAGTGTAAAGCAGAAATTGACAAGACCACACATAGGAAGAAAATAAAAATCCCCATCTTTTAATGATTGCTGGACCAAGAAGACAAAAAGGAAGGCTTTTGGAAAGATTGGGAAAATACAAGGGAAAAACTGAATTTAATATTAAGTCTTATACAGTGCTTACATAGAATTGTTCCCAGCAGTTGAAACTCACGAGCCATTTATAAAACTTTGTCGGAGTTCACCATGAGGTAGGCAAGTAGGTGAATTTCTAAACATTGGTCCCATATTAACTACACACACAGTTTAAGTTGTAAACCAAGAACAAACAACTGAAAAATATAAATTCATTTGGAAACTAAAACACACTTCCAACAGTCTATGATTCAAAGAAGAAATCAAGATAGAAATAAAAACATGCTTAGAGTTGAGTGATGATGGAAATCTCTTGGGTGCATCTAATGAGTTTCTGACTGGCCTGTGCTGATTCTGGGTGGTGTTGGTTTCTGGCTTCAAGAAAGAATGGCCGTGGAATTGTCAACGTTTGTGTATCACAGTGGTGTTTCCTCCTGAGCAGAGTTTAACGGAGCGTGCAACATAAAACTAACACCGAGCTCTTCTTCTGTTTCTTGTCTTATGTTTTAGAACAAGATTGTTTGGCTTAAGCCAAACTGCGATCACAGCAGTCACCCTTATGTGGCCAACTTGTTGGTCGGTTGGTTGCTCTCCGATCCAATTATTTGAATTATTTTAGAGTCAAACTGACCGTAATTCTAAATGAACAGCAGCGTCTTTGGCATTCAACTTCATCACGTGTGTGGCTTTTTGAAGTTGCCTCTTTCTTACACCAGCAGTCTGGGTATTTCTCGTCGCTGCAGTTTGCCTTCTCTGGGTGGGGAATAATTTCTGTTATGTGATTCTGTTTCTCTGTGGGTGACCCCACATCACGGAGTGGGGGCAGAAGATTAGGAGAGTTACACACAGGTTGTTCTCTGAGCAGAAATGGAAGCCAGTTCCTTTGTATCTCATTTTATGTTACTGTTTCACAGCTTTCCTTGAATGTTCAATGTCATGATAATATGCTGGTTTTCTCAGCATAAATGTTGGCCTTGGGTAGGAATTTTTGCTGGCGAAATAGCTGTGTGTTTTCGCCAATCTCTTCCAGGGAAGACAGAATAGACTTGGGGAAAGGAGGCACAGTGGAGGCGGTGCCCAGTAGAGCACTATCCTGTGACTGCTCCTTGGAGTGCTGTGCCCTGGGCTGTGCTCGCTGCTGCTTCCCAGAATAAATCCAGAGGAAAGCGCTTTGGTGCTGGGAGAGGAGTGTGGCCAGCAGGTCCTCAGAGTTTCTGCTGCAGAACGGCCATTGCCCAGCTTGAGCCGTGTCGTGGGGTGACCTGCCCTGGGAGGCTGAAGCCTTCCCATCTGCTTACCCTCCCCACTGCTGAGCCAGTGACATAGCATGAAGCTTGTGGTGGTGCCTTCCAGCCTGTTTTCCAATGCCCTGGCCTTAAATTTGTTATCAGAAAAGTGAGCACTGCCGTTTTCCATGTCGAGTGGATCTTGCTTTCTGGTCTGGAGTGGGAATCACATGGCATCTGTCCAGTCCAGGCTGCCCCTGCGTTGGGGGTTCTGAGGCCATAACCTCAGCAACAGGCTCCCTCCCCCCCCACAACACTGCTCCTTTCTTGTGTTCCTTGCAGGGTGGGCTTTGACAACGAGAGTCCTGGGGACAGCAGGCCGGCGCACAAGGGGCTCTCCGAGCGGAGCCAGGCGGTCGGGGCAGTCCTCAGCCTGCTGCTGGTGGCACTGACTGGCTGCCTGCTGACGCTGCTGCTCTACAAAAAGGAGAGGAGGTGAGTGAGGCAGCGGGCCTGGTGGTGAGCGTTGCAAAACAGCAGGGTTTTAAGGTGCTTAGAGAGATGGAAGCAGTCTCCGGCATTTTGTGTTTTAAATGTCTGCACTCTGTGACTAGGGTATACTGTTTGACCAGGGCTGAGGCACTTACAAGGCCTCACTCCACGGACATTCATGGTTTGTCGGCCCGTCCCTGCGGCTTCTGGGAGTTTTGGTTTATTGTGTCCAAAGATTGGTAGGACATTCAGCAGCACATTTCTTGGGCAGCTTCCTGCTGATCAGCTACCCCCTCTGCCTTACCCTCCATTATAACAGCAAGCATTTATTAGGCGCCTGCTGTGTATCAGGTGTGATGGCATCCTTTCGCTCTACTTTATTGGATGAAAGGGCTTATCATTCATCATGTGACTGCCAAGCAGGTTTTCACATCACGTGTCAGGTAGACATCAGCCCTGAGAGAGTGGCAGGTGTGGTCCTACCAGATTCACTCGTGAAAACGTGGACGCCTAAACATTAACTTGTTTTAGACCTCACCACTGAACAGGATTGGAGTCCTTGTCTGTCGGATTCCAAAGCCCATGTTCTTTGCACTGAGTCACAACAGATGCATCAGTTTATAACCCTCATGTCACAGACTATTGTCACAGGTCATTTGTTGTTGAAAATGTTTGCTGCTTGGAGGGCCACGATTGTGGGGGAAGTGTAGCCAGGGTGGTGCTGCCAGGGGTGGGGCTCCTTCTGCCATGGGGTAATTATAATCTGTTTTTTTATAGGGAAATAATGATGAATAAACTAACGAATTGCTGTAGAAGAAGTTCAAACGTGTCCTACAAATACTCAAAGGTAACTTTCTGCAAAAAGTCTTGGGGCTTCTTTCGCATGGCTTCATGCTGGTCTTTCCTTGTCCTTGAACCTCAGTGGTGCAGGGAGAACCATCACACAGGCAGTGTGAGGTAGGAAAGGATACCAGTACCCACTGCCTTAACCACTGAGCCTAACAAATTTTTTGGTCTTTTTTTCCTTTAAGTTTCTCTCACTGTGGTTGCACCTGATTTCCTTAAAAGTATTTGGGTTGTTTCCACTTTTTTGGCTATTCTTTAAAAAAAAAAAACAAAAAATCATGGTAATAAAGATATTTGTGCATCCAGCAATTGGATGATTTCTTTCCGATAAATTTCCAGAAAATTACCTGGATCAAAGGGCATAAATCATGTTTGTGGCTCTGATAAGTATTGCCAAACTGCTTTCTGTCGAAAGAGTATGGATCCAAGTCCCACCTGTGGATTTCCTCCATAGCATCTGTGCCTTCCTCTGCTACACCTTGCTATAGAGGAGGGGCCAGGAAGAACCCCTTCTCTCTGGTCTCTGCTGACCTGTCATTGGTCTCCTTTCCCAGTCTGGGTCATTTTGAACACCTCCTGCTTGGCCCTGCCTTTGTCTTTGAGTCTTCTGCCCAATGCCAGCTCCCGCCACTCCCACAGCCATCCTGCCTTGGTTCTAAGTAAGAGCAGGCAGGTGCTGCCCACCCTTACCTTCCTGTCCCAGGTGGGGATCTGGAGACGAGATGCTGTGATCCTGGTGAGCAGTGGGCTAGCTCCCCCGCTCATGCCAGCAGAAAGGGCCCCCAGCTTGGGGTGGATCGTGGAAAGAGAATCACAGAGGGTCTTCAAAGGGTCTCACGTGGACTCTGCTGTTGATCTCTGGCAGGTGAACAAGGAAGAAGAGACAGATGAGAATGAAACTGAGTGGCTTATGGAAGAGATCCAGCTGCCTACCCCGAGACCGGGGAAGGAGGGCCAGGAGAACGGCCATATCACCACCAAGTCCGTGAAAACCGAGGCCCTTGGCTCTCTGCATGGGGATGACCAGGACAGCGAGGATGAGGTTCTGACCATCCCAGAGGTGAAAGTTCACTCGGGCAAGGGAGAAAGCTCCCACCCGGTGAGAAACACACCAAGGAAGGCCCTCCAGGAGCGGGAGGACGACAGGGCAGGGCTGGTCGGGGGTGAGAAGGTGAGAAAAGGGGGGAAGCCCAGGCCTGCACAGAAGACGGTGGCCTCCAGCCAGCTGGTGTCCTTCCATGACGACAGCGACGAGGACCTCTTACACATCTGATGCCGCGGTGCCTGCCAGAGACCATGGAGCCGCGGGACAGCCAAGCACCTCCAACCAAATAAGACTTCCACTCGATGCTTCTATAATTTTGCCTTTAACAAAAACTGTTTCAAAGGGAAGAGTTTTTGCAATGGGGGAGAGGGTGAAGGAGGTCAGGCCCTGCTCCTTCAGGATTGTTTACAGTCATTGGAAGAAGGCACGGTCATATTGGCCACAGGGCGCTACCTCGTGCCCAGGGTTTTGCCCCAAGTTCTCATATAAACGCATAAGGCCAGACGCATCTCAGAACAGAGGGCTGTATTTGAAAAAAACCCTTGCTGCTTTAGGCCCCATAGGGTATTTGATCCCATTATATTTTAGCATTTTGATTCTCTCCCCCTATTTATTGACTTTGACAATTACTCAGGTTTGCGAAAAAGGAAAAAAGAAAACAGCTCAGTTTCTTCCTGCCTGCAGGGTTGTAACGCACCGGTTTATCTGTTCTGAGAAGGGGAGACTGTCAGCGTGCAGACAGTTTCTTGTGGAATTTGAAACTGGTCATTAGTGTGTCCCCTGAGTTGGAGTACTCATTCTGTCTCTCTTCTCTTTTGTTTTCTGTTTCTTAAAACACACGCACGCAGGGTCTCAAGTGCCCAGGTTCTGGAGGGTTCACTTGTCTATGCCTCTAGCCAGGAATGGCTGCAGCTTTTTGCATGACATCCTCCATTCTAGGTGCACAAAGCACATTCGTCAGTATTTCTTTCGCCGGCTGGTGAATTCAGACAGCCCACCCAAAGATCGATGCGTGTGTGTGGATGAGTGGAGTTGAGGTGTCCGAGAAAATCAGTTTTTTCCAGATTTGGGGTATAGGTCTCATCTCTTCAGGTTCTCATGATACCACCTTAACTGTGCTTATTTTTTTAAGAAAAAAAGTGTTTATCCACCATCCGACCTATGAGAAGCCTTAATTTGCACAGTGTGTGACTTTACAGAAATTGCATGAAAACGACGGGCCAGCACCTTGCCCTTTGCCTGGCACGTGGATTCATGCTGGAGGGAGGCTGAGGCAGCGACTCGGTCTGGCAGGAAGGGAGGGTGTGGCTGGTGCCGCCACCGGCGGCCAGCTCCTTCCCAGATGCATTTCGCGAACGACTTTTCTCGCATTGTAGAATTGTATATAGACTCAGTGGTATTCATATACTGAAAAGCAAACTGTCCTGCAGAATCCCTTGGTTTGGACCGGTTTGGCTGGCTTATTTGATTTCAACATGAGTGTATTTTTTAAAATTGATTTTTCTCTTCATTTTTTTTTCCAATCAACTTTACTGTAATATAAAGTATTCAACAATTTCAATAAAAGATAAATTATTAATGGGGTGTTCCTGTTTTATTGATACTGAGAAGTTACTGAGCTAGTTGTCTGTCTTTTCTTCCTGTTAAGTTCCAAAAATGCTGGAATGGGGGTTCTAGCTTTCGTGTTCTCACTGACCCTTTTGTCGTGAGGCAGCACCTGAGTTTTCTCTGGCATCTTCCCAGTTGCAGATGTTAATTCTGGGTCCAGTCTGCATCCCCTCAGCTTTTTCTAGATCAGTTTCTCTGTTTTCTCCAAGCAGATCTGGGGCGTGTCCTGTTCACCAAAATAGTGATCTGGAATTTCAGTTCCAGAGATACTATAAAGCTGCGTTCTGTGCAATGTGAGCTCACAAGGGGGTGTTTTCTCTTGAGTAAATGCACCAAGTTTTCATCTTAAAATTACTAATCAGTAATTGCAAGCTCTCTTCATGTTAACATGAGAGCAGAAAGTCACCATGGTGCTAAAGCCAGACTTTCTAGAGTCACCAGCCTTTCTGCCATCTCAATTTTTAATGATCCTATTGGAGTTGCTTTTCTCCTTTTATTAAGGATTTTGCCATACATCTCCCAAGGAAGACAGCCCAGGATTTTATGAAGGTTTACATTAAGACCAAAGAGTGAGTTGCTGGTCCTTGGGCATCCTATCTCGGGGCTGTTCTCCAAGCCATTCCCACCTCCTGCTGAGACCTGGAAAGCTCTCTCTGAAAAGGGACATTTGCTGGATCTGCTGGCCCACTTGGTCAACATGATGGTCAAGAGGTATGCTGTCTGTGCCATGGGCTGCCTGCTTATATCTAGCCCTTAGGGGACGGAGAGACAGGGTGTGTGAGCCCATTTGCTTTGACTCTTTTCTTAAGAACTTCCATAATCTCTACCCCCAAACTGCTGAAAGAAATAGAGTAGCCATCCTTGCCAGCTGTTGTTACACATATTTTTAGGAGAACATATACTGATAGAAAATAAGAATCAGACTCTTTCCAGAGAAATGATTTTATTAATCAGCGTGGACTTTCATATTTAGTTTTTTTTCAGCCAAATTTTCTGTTCCCCTCTTTTTCTTTCTGTTTTTTTGTTCCCCCCTTAACTCTACTTTCGTGATAGGTTATCTGTGCGCCTTTTTTTGAGATCGTTCATTGGGTGGAAGAGAATAAGAACTGTGGGGTGGGAGATAGGATGAAACAGAGGCAAGCCTCACACCAAGGAAATTCATAGCAAAGAGAACAGCTGGTTCATACCGTGTATGCTTCAAAAGCATTTGAAATCTGCACTTCATCAGCCTCTAAAATAATACATGAGACAATTCCTTTAGGAAGAATGCCTGCCACCTGGTCATTAAAAAGAATGCTTTGAGGCCAGGTGCGGTGGCTCACACCTGTAATCTCAGCACTTTGGGAGACCAAGGCGGGAGGATTGCTTGAGCCCAGGAGTTCCAGACCAAACTAGGCAACATAGTGAGAACTCATCTCTACAAAAATAAAAAAATTAGCTAGGTGTGGTAGTGCATGCTTGTATTCCCAGCTACTCAGGCAGCTGAGGTAGAAGGATTGCCTGGGCTCAGAAGGTCGAGATTGTGATGAGCTGTGGTCATGCCACTCCACTCCATCTTGGGTGACAAAGTGAGATGCCAACTAAAAAAAAATAATGCTCTGGGTTAGTTTGATTCCAATTAAAGGGCATATGCTCATAGGTCTTACCTCTTTTCTTGGGGATCAGGTTACCAGGGACCAGTGTGTATGCCAAAGGAAGTGATATACACAAAACTAGATTTCTGGAAATCCCCTTTCTTGGATTCTGAAGAATCCCTATGACTCAGATGTATGCACACTATTTCTGTGGCTCTACTTGGTTGACTTGTAGTTAGTTAGCCTCTTGTGCCCTTGAGCTAAACTTGCTGTCTATTCTGAACATTCTTCTGTGAAAATGACGTGAGCAGGCAGTCATGGTGCACGCTTAGTGTGAGTGCAGGGGGACCATGTTGAGTTGGGGACAAAGTGGCTGGGGGGGCAGGAGAGGGGAGGCAGAATCAGGCTGAAATTTGGAGTCTCCATGACAGTCGCAGTGAGGAGTAGAGACTTGCCCTGAAAGCAGCTGAGAGCCATGAAGGGCCATGTTTGCTTTTGAGGAAGATAGACTGGAAGAGCATCAGGAAACAGAGACACTTTAGCATCCTGGTGGCAGGTTGGGTGCGGGTGACCTGGCTGTGCAGACACCGAGAGGCCCTCGCTTGGAAGGTCCTCTCCTGGAGAGTGGGGTGTTTTCTTTAAAGACAGTAGGAAAAGCTGCAGGTAGGCTGTAGATTAATTATTTGTGGTTCTTTACCTGTAATACACTGTTTTGTATCTTGACCAGTTTGCAAATCAAATACAACCACAAGTAATGTAGAATATCATTTTGATAGTGTTAGTGGGAAACACAATCAAATGAATGGTTCCCTTGGTTGTCACACCTAGGAGTGTTAAATGAGAATGTTGGGCTTCTAGCCAAAGTAGGGTCACCTGGTGCCACTCTGTTCCATCCTGGAGAAAACAGTTTAGAGAGCCTGCCTGGTGGTGATGGCCGTGAAGGATGACGGGTTGCTGGAGACAGAGCAGGACTCTGTCTGGAAGAAAGCAGGAGGCCAGACTCCAGAAAGGCTGTGTCCGTAACCTTGGCTTCAAGTTATTTTTCTTTCTTTTTAAAAACTTAAGACAATCAGAACATATAGACAACTCGGATGTACAGGGCAGAGAAGGCTTTTCCCTGAATCACTTGAGACTGAGAAGTCTCCCTAATGCTGTCTCCAGACATTCCTACAAAGAAGGACTTTCACATGACTGCTAATGCCACCACCAAAGCCAGAATGTGAGTATGGGACAGTATGCTTTCTAAGCCTCAGTCCTGTACAGGTGTCACAATAATGCCCTATTTCATTTTATTTATTTGAGGCAATCCTCCCACCTCAGCCTTCTGAATAGCTGGGGTGAATTTTTTCTGATAGTTCGTAGAAATGAGGTCTTGTTATATTGTCCGGGCTGGTCTCGAACTCCTGGGCCCAAGCAATCCTCCCACCTTGGCCTACCAAAGTGCTGAGGTGACAGGTGAGAGCTACCATGCCTGGCCACAATAATGCCCTTTTTTAGTAGAGGATCTGTGAGGATCATGTGTTGTACTCAATCACCATGTCACTTTGGTTTTCTTCCCTCTGGGAAGTCCCTCCTTCCTTCAACCTCCACAACCTTCACCCACCCCACTGCTGGGAGAGTGCCAGCTTTACTCGACCTTGCCCAGCAACTCTGGGGACTCAGCTGTTCAGGAATGCTTGGAGAGAGGACCCTTGGGGTCTATCTACAAAATCACACTTGAACTAGAAAGTCTTATTGGCGTAGGGTATGGATTGCCATGTAGCAGCATTTCCCAAAATGTGCCCCTTGGAACACTTGTTCTGTATGAATTTCACGGGTTTTCTGCAAAACATGAAAATCACCTAAGCTCAAATAAGTTTGGGAAATGCTAAATTAAAGTGAAACAATCTTTCATGCTGTGAGACCCCTCAGAATCTTTAAAGGAGAGACTGCTGAGCATACATGTGATTACAAGAGAAAATGCAACTGGTGAGACTCCCAAGAAGAGGCTAGAGCATGTGCAAAACTTCCTAAATGTTTGCCCCATCCCCTGGGAATCTTGGTGGCCTGTGGACCAACCACTGGGAAATGCTTGCCTGTGGCAAGGCTCTGTGGTTGTCCAGAGGCTCAGATGGAGCAGGCTGGGTGGGCTGTCTGTATGGGGACACACTGGTGACTAGCTGTGAGGGCTGAACAGGTATGTGAAGAAACACTCAACATCATTCATTGTCAGGGAAATGAAACTCAAATGAAACCCAGGCGATGTCACCTCCCACCTGTCAGAATGACCATTGTTGAAAAGACCCAAGATAACAAGTGTTGGCGAGGATGTGGAGAAAAGGGAATCTTTGTTCACTCTTGGTGGGAATGTAAATTGGTGCAGCTGTTATGGGAGACAGTAAGGAAGTGTCTCGTAAGAGTAAAAATAGAACTACTCATGGTCCCACATCGAAGGTATATACAAAAGAGATGGAAATCAGTATCTCGAAGGGATACCTGCAGGGGTCCAGCCCCACAAGGGTCGTGGGTTTTCCTGAAGGAGAGATGGATAGGCAAAAGACGAAAATATTATACTCGGACACCTTCCGGAACAGATGACGTTTAATGTTAGCTAAGGGAAAGCTTTTATACCATTTGTAAAGGGACAAGACAAAGAAAATTCCTTCACGTACATATCCTCTAAAAGTTACCACCATCTAGTGGTCTTAGCAACAAACAAGCCAAGAACCCTATAAACATTCAGACAGTGAGTCTTATTTATAAAGCCAAAAATGATAGTTTTAGTCCAAAGTTCCAAATTACAGTCCTTGAACTGTCTTCAGAAAGTTTCCAAGTGTAAAATTCTTCATGTAACAGTAGTTTTCTTTCTGGGGCTTTTATGACTTTCAGTTTTGTAATTGCCTTTCTTGTCCAGGTGTCTCTGTTACTTTTCTCTTGTCCTACAGTGTTTGTTTTTTGTTTGTTTGTTTGTTTTTTTGGGTTGGAGTCTCACTCTGTCCCCCAGACTGGAGTGCAGTGGCCGCTCCCGGTCACCGCAGCCTCGACCTGCTGGGCTCCGGCGATCCTTCTGCCTCAGCCTTCCGAGAGGCCGGAATTACAGGCATGTGCTACCATGCCCGACTGATTTTTTGATTTATTGTAGAGATGAGGTCTCGCTGCCCAGGCGGGTCTCAAACCTGCGGGCTCAGGCAATCCACTCACCTCAGCCTCCCAAAGGCACGGGATTATAGGCTGAGCCACCGAGCCCGGCTTCAGTGTTTGTTTTTAAAGAAAACTTAAAAGAAGTTTTTAGTAATGTTTCCCGGGTCTCCAAGGTTGTTTTTTGTTTTTAGCTAATTTATTATAAAAGTGTTTGAGTAGAATATTATGTGTTCAGTGAAAACCCACTCTATAAACATTAACTTAGAGTTTTAACTAT